AAAAGTTATTCTTTCCATAACAAAATTATTATGTATCACATCAATCCATTCATCTATGGTAGGAATATCCTCTTTAATCCAAAGGCGAGTTATGGCCTTTTTGCAAGCTACCGACAGCACACTGAACAAATATTTATCCGGTTTGCATAGATTAAGACTCTCTAGGTTGCCTAGGTACAACAATGCAAAATGAAATTGTATTTTCTTTTGAAAGATTGTTTCCATGACCTTATGTATTTCCTTCCAAAATGGAACCACACGGGGACATTCCCAAAAAATGTGAAAATGATTTGCTGTTGCATGTCCACAATGCCTCCAGCATGTTGTATTCTGAGAATAATTGCATTTTTGGGCTGGGGTAATAAAATAACGAATTACGTTCTTCCAGCTGAATTCCCTCCACGAGGGGGAGCTTGTTACTGACCACTGCTGCCTACAAATCCCATCCCATTCCTCTCCTGTTAAGAATAGATTGCTCTCTGTTTCCCATCTTCCTTTAACATATCTTGTATCATGACCCTGTAGATTGATCAGTGAACAATGTAATTTGGAAAAAAAAATTTGATAGGGTCCATCTCTATACGCGTTCTCGAATATATTTATAATCTCTTCATTCCCAGTTGATAACTGAGAATTTTTTAGCTTTTTATTCAGGAAGTCCCTCAGTTGCAAATATCTAAAAAGATCTTGATTTTGCAACCCAAACTTTTTCTTAAGGTCTTGGAAACTCATCACTTTTCCATTTTTCAACAAGGTACTGTATGTGGTGAGACCTTTATTTGCCCATGTTTTGAATGTCGAGTCGAACTTACTAGGCAAAAATTCTGGGTCATATGCAAACCACTTAAGGAAACCGGCCCTCTGGTTTAAATGATACTTTTTAAGTACTCTTCCCCATATCTTTATTGAACTTACTATCCAAGGGTTGCCCGGGTCTCCCAGGAGTCGTAACTCTGACGGATCTCCTATCAGTGCCCCGACAGGAAAATCTGCATCTGAATCTGCACCTGTGCAGATTCAGATGGAGCTGCAGTGTAATGGCACACTCAGGGCAAAGTACGACACTGAATGGCCCGCACAGTTTATTAGTTCCATTCCTGCAGCAATGCCCAGCTCCGTCTACATGCGGCTCCAACCTTGTGTATGCTTTCATTTATTTTTTCTGGGGTTTTTGGCAGCATGTTGATATTTCTAACTTGCATAATTTTGACAGGATATATTTTTATGTGGAGCAAAATATTTATAGTTAAAGTTTATTTTTTTTAAGTTTATTTAATCTGGAATAATATTCCTGTCTGTTTTCCTTCATATTTGTGTTTAAAAAACATTGTTTTAGTGTGTTCAATAAATCTTTATCTTGTTTGGCCCGTGACCTAAAGTGTGCCTTGAGTTTTGGCCCCCTGTGCAATTGAGTTTGACACCCCTCTAGCGTAACAGTCAGGTAAGTACGATACCCAATCAGACAATTAATGGCTTAGTGAGAGACCATGACGATGGCATTTCTGGTAAGTACAAATAGATAGACATTGTTTTTTCTTTCTTTTTTTTTTTGCCCAAAGAGATCATTAAACCACAGTCAGTAGCACAGCCCTTTTCTCCCTGTAACCAACCTGTCTGCCAAGATGCCTGCCAGCCCGCTAGCTGGTCCATGCTAAGTGTGTGGTGATAACACTGTAATCAGGCGTGTTAAATAGACCGGCTCGCAATAAGTCTGATGAAATCTGTTCCCGCTGGGCTGCACTACAAGCCAAGACACAAACAAGCAGGCGCATTCATACAGCACACAACCCCAAAACTATATACACATGCACATATGTTTGTGTGGACTTGTGAGGATCTACACTGACACAATACATACAGTAATTAAAACTACCAATCTAATCAACCAGTAATCTAAACGGAAGAGTCATCTTGAACTAATCTAGTTTTAAAATGTTATGTTAGGGCACCAGGATTGTGCTTTAAAAGGAAGTCTTCAGTTATGGGGGTAAAAGATCGCAATGTCATTGCATCAGGGTTCCAGTACAGGGTCTGCAAGAAAAAAACACATTAAACCTGGCTTAATGTCATATTGCAAAGTGCTATGACTAACCTGTGGACGTTCCTCTCAATGCAGCAAGTTTCTTCTTCAGTAGTCATAATATTTTTAGCTTAGAGACAGCTGAAAACAAATGATTCACAGGCACAGAAATAGAGAGTTAAATAAGTAATTGTTTGCTTGAGTCCATTAGATATTTGAGTCCATACTTGTGTGATGAGGTGAAGTCTTATTGATCTAAGGCTCGTATTTGAATTTGTATCAAATCTCCAGTTTTTTAATCTGCGGAGTGGACCAAGAGTATTTTGGGGGAATTTTGATGACCAGTTATTCAAGTGCGTTTTTGATTTGCAGCATCTGGCTGCTTCCAAAACTTTCTTTTCCACAGCTGTACTTAAATTCCTATGTTTTGGGCAGCAACCTTTCCTCAGCCATTTCCATTTTCCAGCTCAGAGTCATGGCCTCAGATTTGGGGGAGCTTCACACCTAATGGAGTTTAACTCCATAACCAAAAAACTGCAAACCAAACGCTACAGGCAGTAAGTCAGACCACATACAGCAAATCGGTATTAATAATTATGATACTTATGTAACTTATGTAATGCAACAGCGACTCAACTTAGTCACGTGTAACGATAAATATTATAAAATACACAGAAAATTGTTTTTTAATGTCCCTCCTTTTTGTTTCAAAAATAGCATTTTCGTGTTTCATCGTCACAGATATACAAAGTAGTGTTGGGCAATTTTAGATTCAGTGGGTGACAGCTGTTGTAGCATGAAGTAAACGTGTTGTGAATGCCTATTTTCATTAATGGAGCAGGAGTAGATTGTTCATGATAGTGGAAGCCATTAAAGTCATTTGAGCAGCTACCTCCACACTATCAACATCTTATTACAATCATATTAGTTGTATTGATTTTGAAGTGTAGCCCGGAGCTCTCTATGTCTTTGCTTTTGGCAGACAGCCAGGATCTATAGAGAGGAACAGGGTGACAGCAGTCTGATGGCCAGAGGCGTAAAAGCAGGAAGCTTGTCAGTTTGAATTTCCAGACTGGTTGGAAGCATCTGTGCTGGAAAGTGAGAAAGATGTGTTTCAGTCATTTCTTTTTTTTGAATGTTTGCAGGTCCTTCGACGACACAAATACTGCGTTTTCACGTCACCTGTCTACTTGCAACAGGACAGGAGGGTTATGATAGGAGATAGTGGTAAATTTACCTAATTACTTTCAGGTGTAAGCAGCTTAAATGCCTTTCATATAGCATAAACTATAGCTTCTGTTTAGTCCTCAGTCACCAGTTTTCTATCTGCCTGTGTTTATCCAGTTAATAGGTGGTGGACTCTAGAAGAGTACAGCATTTTATTTGTATAGCAATCACATTGGGGTATTGTCAATAAAAACAAACCAAAACCAGCTGTGATATTTTTAAAAACTGCTGGTAGTCATGCAGTGGAAAATTGTGTGGCGAAAACAGCACTTTTACCCAGCTGAGTTATTCAAAGAGACACAGAGCAAAGCCAATATGTTGCTTTTGCTCCTTTTGTTCTTATGAAAGGGATGAATTTCTCTTCTCTTGCAGATTTAAAGCCAGCTTTAACCTCTCTCACCCTGCGTTTGGATGCTTGCTTGTTTTTAGCAAAATTCTAATGCTTCTAAATACGGGGGCCATTGAAGAGGTGATTTTATGCATCCACGGGATTCTGCTATTCATACAAGTAAAAAAAGCACACCAGCAAAGCAATGTTGTTAAATTATTTTGGATATTGTGCAATGTTGTTTTTTTTTTAAAAAGAAATATTGAAAAACTGTGTGGATGAATAGTATGTTCAGTCTTAAACAGACTGTACATTGAGTCTGCATGAGTGTTGTGGAAGTCACCAGCTTTAACCCAGCGTGGGTGGCTCCTAGAACTATACTCCACTGACAGCTGCACATTATAAATATACTCATAAGGGTCGCAAAATTGCACAAACTGAGGACATATTTGCAGTAAAATAAACTATGGGCACTACAGGTAGGAAGTAGAATGTGTTTTTCTCAAAACTGGTGAAATGCACTTCTTTTCTGTGATCACTTTAATTGTCTAGATGTAAAAAGCATATGTGGTTATCTCTGCCTCTCTGCCGTTGCTCTGGGTTCCATTCAGGGTTTATATATAGCTGCCGGGTTGTGCGTTAGTGCGCGATAGCTGTCTCCAAAGCGACCAGCTTCTCACTTCCCACTCCCTGACGCAAACAAAAAAAGCATCTGTGAAGAGAGAGGGGGTGTCAACCTTGCAATCAAAACCAGATAATCAAATACTAATCTGATTACTTAAGTGCAAAGTGGGTGACGTGTTTCGTTTAACATCTGTGCAATTGTAATTAAGGGCCACAGATATGTGCTGTCCTGCTGAACCTCAACTCCTGCTTAGATTAGACTCAGTTATCGTGTGACTCAGTCTTGTGGTTAAAACAACATTACAGCGAGAGGTGAAGTGTATAGTTAAACCTATAAAAAGTGAAAAAGGAGAAGAGCTTTTCTTTTTCACGAACTACCTATGTTTTTTCACTGGTATCAATTTCCATGAAGCATTTATAAACAGTTGAATTTTAAAGTCAATGTAATTAACTGGTTTGTTAGACCATATAATGAATGATATCATTTTTCTTTCTTTCAAGACATATTTTATTCTACAGTAGAAATTGTAGCAGCATCTTTGCAGCTAACGATAGTCTTGTCTTCATAAATTGAAGCGAAGTGAGCTGATCCTGCATTTTCTTTGTGATGGCATAGATATGAATCATAGCGCTTGCCATTGTCTTGGTTTGAAGTAATGCAGCACTTCAACTTAAAGATTAACTGTTTAAATATCTTAAGAAAAATCCAAATAAAGTACATTTAACTAATACTTGTTTCACATAGATAAAAGTTTCCGTTTGTTCAAACTTTTAAACTCCGTCTTCTGCCTTATTCTACAGATTGAAGACATTATCACTCGCATCCAGGACGAGACGGACGGTGTACCCATCAGAACTGTCAAAAGTTTCATGACGAAAATCCCCAGTGTCGTTACGGGTAAGAAATCAAAAGAGACAGATGTCAAGCAAAAAGTGACCTAACCTGCACTGTACAAACATTAACTATAGAAGTGCATCACTGATGGACATTAAGTGCCCAGAGAACAAAATGAGACGATGGAAAATGCTGATGTCTGTTGGGCCTCTTGTTTTAGTGAGGCTGAAAAATGACAGTTCAATCAGCTATTCCAGGATAATTTAATCAACGTACTTTAATTTGATATTTTGAGATATTTACTTATTCAGCTTCTTTTTAAGGTTGTACGTGAAGAATTATTCCTGAAAAAAGGAAATATGGAAATATTAACAATCTGGGTAGACTTTATAAAAAGGTAAACTGTCTGTTAATTGCAGACTTATGATACACTATACACATAGGTATGAGCAGGATATCAATTTCCTGCCTGTCATCTAGACAGAGCATTAGTTTATTTCACAACACAAGGGTAGGCATCCAAAAAAATCCATCTTGCAAGGTATTTTGTGAAACACTATACAGTACATCCTAGCTCTCCAGCTTGGTCCCACATTTATATTCAAATAATCATCTGCTTGGTGGCTGCATTTCAGTCTGTTGAGGCACAGAAAAGCTGAATAGCTTTAGGTAAAAGTGGGAAGACAACATATGATTAAACGTTTGAAAAAGTGTGTAAGTGCATAAACAGAATGACTAATGCTGTCCTACTATCAAGGTGCCCTTAAGTGAAGCAGTCAACCCCTGACTTCTCCCGTAGAGCTGCGACTGTGGGGATCTGTGCGTCAAGCTGTCCAACAACAGAATAAACTTTGAATTTAAATGAAGTAAAAACAACAAAAGAAAACATTATTTGTTAGTTGAACCTGATGGGTAGGGATGAATGTTAGCCCCCTTGCCAGCTGGCTGTAATCACTTTCACTGACAGCATAAATCATTCCAACAGGCTGGTGCTGCAGTGGGAGGCTTTCACAGCAAACGAATGAAACAAATGATGAAAACAAAAACATAGACTATTAACACCCCACCCCCCACCCCCCACCACCACTACCCCAGTCTTTGCATTAATGGAAGATGCACACCCAATATGCAATAAGCAGAGCATATCAATAAACACAATTACCCCAGCGGCTGATGGATATGCAGAACAGTATCTCTCAAATGTTTGCAGCTGAGTGCTGAAGGCTAAGAAACTAATAACTGATGAAGAAATTAAACATCACCTCACTAAGGAAAGTAGAAGATATTCTAATTCCACTCTATGGGATCACATTTAAAATCTTTTATATTTATATTCAAACGAATACCACTGTTTTGTGAAATAGTTGAAACATTTGAGATTTTGTTTTCTGTTAGAGGGAAAAATACTGATAAGCTAACCTAGTTTTTAGCATGCAGAAAGCCTTTGATTATGCATTATGTCTTATGCATTTTTTTTTATCATCATTCTATTACCTTTAGGTTTTGTTTTGGAAGTGTAAATTGGGGCACTTGTATATTTACACTCATTGGCCACTTTGTTAGTTACACCTGTTCAGTGCATTTAGGCATGTAGGTTGGAGGTTCAAACAGAGCATCCAAATAGGGAAGAAAGATTATTTAACTGGCCTTGAACATGGTGGTTGGTGTCAGATGGGCTGCTCTGAATATTTTGGAAACTGATTTACTGGGATTTCCAACTCAAACATCTAGTTTTATATTGAGTGGTCCAAACCTAAGAATGGTCAGATTGCTTCAAGCTGACATAAAGGCAGCCATAACTCAAATAACCACTTTTTCCATGACCAGCATATGAAGCAGATGAGCTACAGCAGCAGAAGACCATACTGAATGGCACTACTGCCAGCTAAAAACAGGAAATTGAGGCTACAATTGATGCAGGGTTTGACAACAGAAGATGAAAGAAATGTTGCCTGATCTGATATTTTTTTGGCTCACTATAGTCCATTACTACCAAGCGAGCATTGCATTGTTGCTGTCAACATCCATCCCTGTATTTCCACACAGTACCCATGTTCTTTCAGTTGGATAATATACCATAGTACAAAGCTCAAATCTCTCAAACTGGTTTCTTGGTCATGGTTAACATTACATTTTACTTAAATGGCCTACAGTTGCCAATTCTCTATCTAAAAGATCTGGATGTGTAGCTGACAAATCTGCAGCAATTGCAAAATGTTATCATGACTTTATTGGACCACGATCTCTGAGGAATGTTTCCCACACCTTGTTACATCTATGGCACTAAAAATCAAGGCAGTTCTGAAGGTGAAAGCTACTCCAACCAGTTACTAGCAAGGGGTAACTACTAAAATGACTGTTGAGTGTATATTTTGCCCCAACAATGGAAGCCCCCTTGTTTTGTTTTTTGTGTCCTTCTATCCTGCCCCCCCGGGCTGCTGTATGTTTAATCCCAAATCTATATCTTTCAGTACATTATTGTAAACACACCATGTATTGCAGCTATTTATCTATCCTCATCTGATCTGATACAGGTGCAGATATTGTACAGTGGCTGATGAAGAATCTGTCCATTGAGGATCCAGGTATGTTTTTAAAATGGGAAAGCAGAGTGTACTCTGCTGAATGAATTCTAAATGCCACAACCTCCCATGATAGCAGAACAGCAGGATTTATTTATAAAAAGCATGCACACTATATAATAAGAAATACAGGGGTGTGTCTATCTTTATGATAGGTTTTTGAACAATTGCCTGCAATAAATGCTTACAATGAAGAGATGTTTATAGTGAGCAGGTGCATTGTTGTTCAGAAGACCTAACTACAAAAACTTGGCAATAATCTGTAGAAAACATTTACAAGTTAATACTATAGAGAAAACATACCAAACAGGAAAAGAGGCAACTAGGTTGTTTTTTTAACAAACAGAATTTGTTTTATATTTGTTGTTTCGTTGGCCTGACCTAAAGCCTGGTGGTGGGAGAGCAGTGTTTATTGTTGGTACAATAGCCCACGGCCTGGACAGTGAATCAGTCACTGAGTCATCCATGTACATCCCAACCACCTCTGATTCCCATAGTCCTAGCAGAAAGCCACTTTAAACAGACTAACAAACAAAACAAAGGTTCAACAAGCTGTGTTGATATATTTGCATTTCTTAAAATGCTCCACTTCAAAAAATATTCCAGGGATGGTATACTTGGCAGGTGATTCATAGTTTTGTATTAATGTAATGTTACAAAATATCAGTTCCATGACTGTCATATTTGATCTCATTGTCTAGATGTTGTTTCAACCAACTTAATTCTATCCATACTGCAATGTAAATACTGTCTGCAATGCTGAGGAATCTACTGTAATCTATTTATCTCTTTATTCTGCTCCTTTTACAGCTGAGGCGATGCACATTGGGAGTTTAATTGCAGCTCAGGGGTACTTTTTCCCAATCTCAGACCATGTCCTTACCCTGAAAGACGATGGAACTTTCTACCGCTTCCAGGTGAGCGGACACACCAAATGGTTAAAAACACAGAGAAGGCTATAGGAGGTATGGCCACATTTAATTATTAGCAAACTCAAGATTTATACCTGATGTGAAGCTTAATGAGAAACGTGACAATCAGCATTTAGATACTTCATGGTTAATTCTAGGTTAGTGTCTTGTTTTGATAAATATCGTAAAATTATTTTCTGTATAGACGAGTGAAAAATTCAAGTGAGTAAGTAAGGGATTGAACCACTATATGAAACTGGATAGCTAATGATTACCTGAAACTCTGAATTTACAGAAAATGTCAAATTTTTGTGAAACATCTATCGTCCGATAATGATACAGTTATCGGACTATAGATGTTTTATATCAGGATATGAGGTTTTGGTCATATTGCACAGCCCTACATAGCCCCTGGAATCCCTGGGTCGCGCAAACCCGTCCACCACAATAAGGTAGCGACTCGCGGAGGAGGACCCGGGGCAAACCCAGGACACATTGGAGAGATTATATCTCTTGGCTGGCCTGGGAAAGCCTTGGTGTTCCCCCGGACAAGCTGGAGGAGGTGGCTGGGGAGAGGGAGGTCTGGGCTTCTCTGCTTGGGCTGCTGCCCCCACGAACCAGCCCTGGATAAGCGGAAGAAAATGGATGGATGGATGTTACTTTTGATAGCTATTCTTAACATGGTGGAAAAATTGTGGCACATTCAGATAGCTTTTGAAATGTAGATATAGTAAGTTTCGAGTACCGGCTCTTTATTGTCAATAGATGAAAATAGTTTTTCTTTAATGTTCCCTTTTATGTTCCCTTTTATGTTCCCTTTTGTGCCAGACATGACTCTCACACTAATGCCTTCTTCATTCTGTGTAATTGTAAGAGATAATAAAAAACCTCCAGCAAGTTTAATCTAGCTGTGGGGTCGCCTACAATATCCCAATCAGCCACTGACGATTACTTGCTTCGTTATAGAAGCACTGGGGCCCTGTCCACTACAGTTTCTTCAGTACTATGTTGGGATCCTGTGACCCTATTAAAAATGGATGGTGAGCTGTTAAAATATTCATCAAGAGCTCAGAGGAAGCAGGTCTGGGTCCGGGCCAAATAGGCAGCTACCAGAATCTTTACAGGGACATGTAGTGTAGCAGCCCACACTACAATTAGAGACTCATATCAAAGAACAAAAAAAATAAAGTAAGGCTGACATTTTGTGCCTCCTTCACTGTTCACAGATAAGGCAGTGGCATTAAGCTTGCATATTAATTATGCCAGACTGAAGTCTCTAATTAAAGAAAGGAAACCATGTTTTCAAATTCCTCATTTGTGAATGCAAAAGCAGCATGTGGTGCGATTAGAATGATTTCTATGTAGCATCTTCTTCCTATACATACTGCAGTTACAGGATTGAATCTCCAGTGAAGCCAGAAGAGCAGTTTAATTAAACCAACAGTGCACATTAGGTTATTTGACCTTGGTTCTCCTCCTTCAAAGTGAAGTGGAATAAAAGAGGGGAGGAGGAGGAGGTCTATTTGCTGTAGCCGAAAGAGCTTCATAAAGATAATCACCACTCATTAGCATTTCCTTTTGGAGGCAAATCAAGTGCAAGATAAAGAGAAACACAGGGCAGAAAAATCACAATTATGTAATATCTCTTCTCAATGAAAATACTACAGATGGTTTGGACTTGTTTAACAGTTTTACGTAGTTTTTTGTCAAATACAGAACCTGTCCTGTCTGTTCCTTGCCTGGCGGCTTATTGTTCTGTTTTCTGACTGTTTACTTCCCAGCTGTCATTCTTTTATTGTTTTCTGCAATACTTTTCCATGAGTAATAGCCCCCTGGGGTGTTGCAGAGGTGTGAAAAGTTTTAGAAGTTGGCTGCTCTGAATCTCTCCTGCCCTGATAATAAAAAATATTTTGATTGGTGAAGCAAGACAATCATGTGCTCCACTGTGTCTCAGAGGCAAACAGCTATCTTGTAAAGGTCATCATCATCACTCCAGTTTTGTCAAATAGTTTTGACTCATAAATCGTGACCTGGGAGGTTCAGGGAACAATCAGCAGCAATTCAGCATCACTTTTGATTTTCACATTTCTACTTTGTTTTGTCCTCAGGCGCCATATTTCTGGCCGTCCAACTGCTGGGAGCCTGAGAACACAGACTATGGTGAGAAACTTCAAGGAATATCTTGACATTTTGTGGTTTTTGATTGTCCTTTAAGTTTTAAAGAGCAATGCTTTAGTCATAAGATTAATTAAATGGATTAGAAATAGTATACGTGGGTTGGAAACAGTAATATAGCATCACTGCATGGAACGAAACCTGCTAGTGTTATACTGAATTTAAGGTGAAACTAATGCTTTCTGTGGTCCCGGTCTCTAATCTAATTTACAACAGCTGCTTCTGAGGTATTATGTAAAGTGCAAACTACACCTCCAACATTAGCAGGGTATGAATAACCATCAATAATAGCTGAGGGATAAGATATGGATCTTATCAATCTACATCTGATCTTGAAGCAAAACCTTTGGAAAAACATGTTTTCTGACTGCCTTTTTATTAGCAGCAGAAAGATTATAACTGGATAATTTATCTAACTTTTGTCTGTCAGCTCAACTCTGAACAAGCTTTATGCAGCAAAAGCTAGACCGCGTAGCTTAAAAAGTGATTATAACAAGCAGACACCAATTAAATATCCCACTGTAGGGAATATTAATAAGTAACTAATGTGGGGATGCCTGCAGTCAGCTGAGCCTGACCAAGTAACATGGATGAGTGACAAATTGTTTCTTCCACAGAAAACGCTGCATCCAGATAAAGAGAATCAACTTTATGCATTAATTTCAATATGTCATAATATTCTTATTAATTGATGAAAACTACATATTTTCATGTCATAATGTCTCACCAAGACACAGAGTTTTAACCTTTATTTGTTTATTTTTATTGAGGTGATATAACCGTGCTATTCTTTTCAATACAGTGTTTCATTTCAAGTCTTGACTATGTAGATTTTTTTCCAATTTTTCTGATCTGAAGAAAGATGAAGCAACCGTAAACAGATGAGAAGGCATAAGCCTGCAATTTATAACTAAAGCTCAACAAACTCCCACTGAGCAAAGCACTGAAGCCCAGTAAGCACTGTACTTTTAGTTGAGGAGGCGAACAGCTGACATGATTAGTCAATCACTGTTCCACTTCCTGCCCTTCATCCTTTCAGACACAGCCATGACTGGAGTTTTTGGTTTGGGAGTTCAGGGACTCTTAAAACTGCCTCATAATCCCAATGGTGGGCAGGCAGCTTGAGAGGGATTGTAAGGCAAGGCAAGGCAAGGCAAGGCAAGTTTATTTGTATAGCACAATTCAACAACAAGGTGATTCAAAGTGCTTTACAGAGACATTAGAAACAAGAACAAATAAAAAGCATGATTTGTAGTCCATGTAAAATGGGTGGTGAGGAGAGGTGGGTTGCACAGAGAGTGAGAGATGAGCACAGATGAGTGAAAAGGAGGAACAGGGATGTCTCTGTGATTAATTCTTTCTCTCTCTTTCTCCTTCAGCTATTTACCTGTGCAAGCGGACCATGCAGAACAAGACGAGGCTGGAGCTGGCAGATTATGAGGCTGTGAGTGTTGAACTGTTGCTCTAAGCTATTAGTCCAAGTATTGATCAGTGCGTCAAGCTCTGGGACCAAAAAAATACAGCCTCTTAAAGGTCAGACAGGCGTGTGTCTGTGATGGCATGAAATCTAAATTACTTCTTGGAGCAGACTCAAACTTTAAAACTGTCAAATGTATTTAACAGTATTTTTTTTCCCCAACTATTGTTTTTCCTTGTTGACTTTTGATAATGTTTCTCTCTCATTTCTAACAGGAGAACCTGGCCAGGCTGCAGAGAGCTTTTGCCAGGAAGTGGGAGTTTATCTACATGCAGGCTGAGGCCCAGGTCAAGTAAGTGTGATCTGTTACCAAGGCAACACATGAAACTGCAGTGCATGCACTGATGTCATTCACACTCAAGGTAAAAGACAAGCAATCATGAGAAGTGAGCATTTGTACGTGTGGTTTTGTGTAAGATTACCGCTGTGAGATTAGGATTGACGTGTCTACAGGTGTGTTTCACATCAGATGCTCTTTAAACCAACAAACATAGGCAATACTTACTTGTAACACATGGAAATTCGAAAATGGAAGAAGAGTGGAGACTGTACACACTGCTCTGTTTTCCACCATCCTTTGCCAGCCTTCTTTTGATTATGAATCCACAGTTACATCAGTCTGAGGGATGTTAAAGGGAAAGCTGTAATTTCCAAAATGTTCCCAAAATCTTTGTGAAATAAAGTGAACTGCTATTATTACATTTGCTTCCATGTTTTGGTTCCAGGTATATATGACCAGCATTTCTAATCTGATCATGATTCACGAAACTAGTATTAAAGTGTTTTCTAATTTTTCTTCTTTTTCTAAATAAGTAACAATGTGGAAGTCTAGCACATAAACAAACATAATCCACGTTGCCAGGGGTCAAAGACTTTAGATGCAAAGTAGCAATTCCTTAAAATTATTAAGTTAAAAGTTAAAGTCATAACCTATTAAACATTATGAAGATCAACAAATTATACAATTGTTATTCTTATTATTCTTGAAGCCTGTTAGACAATTTTAAATGCTTTTTTAACTCACGGTGAATATTCTTAATTTTTAAATTAATTTCTTTTTGAAAAAAATGAAATGTAGGTATCAAAAAACTGGAAGTACCCAAGTACCTGGAATAACACAGAGTTACACAGTATGTGGATGCAGACAGTGTGTATGAAGCTAGAGTACACTGTAGACTGAGTCTGTTCTGAGCCTCATTATTGTTAAAAAACACTGCTCTATTCTGCAGGATTGACAGGAAAAAGGATAAAATTGAAAGGAAGATCCTGGACAGCCAAGAGAGAGCTTTCTGGGATGTCCACAGACCTGTGGTAAGTCTCACATACACACTTCCTGTCTATGTGAGATTATAGCCACCCACCTAATCCGCATTCTCAAATAGTGCTGATGCAATGACATTGTTTTCCTTGGGGTGTTTTTTTCTGCAGCCTGGATGTGTTAACACCACAGAGATGGACATCAGGAAATGTAGACGCATGAAGAATCCTCACAGAGTTAAGAAGGTAAAACCTTAGCTGTCAACTTTGTGACAGGAATCTTTTTAAAGAGATTTTTTAAAATATACCCCATGCAACAAGTTTATTCCTTTTTTTAAAAAATTTTTGTAAGTTGTGTTAAAATTCATGTCCCTTGCATTTTTCAAACAACATAACATATCATTTCCCACACTGCAAGAAAATAAGTGTACCTTCTAATACTTACCCACTTCTCCTCTCTCATCATGGTTGAATGGCCCAGTCGGTGTATGGTGTGATAGAGGAGGGAACACAGTCTCAGAGTCCCATACACACTCCTTTACACCACTGCAGGAAAGGCACCAAGGAGGATGTAGAAAAGGAGGTAAAAATCAGTTCAAATGTTGACAAAATTATAAGCCATCATTAGAGAAGATGTCAGTGTTTTGTGCTCTTTCTGCTTTTAACGCCACAAGCACTGGATTTCACAGCCGCAGGCCAATTACAGAGAAGATTGGCAGACATTGTAACGCATTTTGTGCGGTGCCCACCTTGTCAAATCTTTTCAAATCTGCTGGATTGTTTTCTCGCACAAACAGTAATTATGAGAAATGGTAGCACTAACAGTATTGCCGATTGACATAGACACTGCCAGCTGACTCAACAAGCTCCTTTTCATTTATTTCTGTTACAGGTATTTGCTAGCTCTAGTTGAGATCATGCAATCAGATTCAAAAACCTTTATATAAAAAGATTTTTTGGTATAGTTTATTGCTCATTGTCTTTTTCAGATCGTATTCCTGAATACCCAGCTAGATCGTCACTGCATGAAGATGTCCAAAGTTGCTGAAAGGTACAGGAAACTTACTTCACATACACATTTAAAATGGAGCACAGCATCATGTCCAATCTCTATCTTGTCAATCTTGTGAGGCACTCTTTGTCGCTAAGGTGCTCCGTTCCCATCTCCTGTACTCTCTGACCATCCATAATCAGACAAAGCTCTTTGCTACTGGCCTACCTTTTACTGTAACTCTCCTAGAGGAGTGGCAGACAGGGGATAATAGGTTTCTTGACACCTTATTTGGACCTGTGGAGGTTTCAGTTTGACATTCAGAAGTGGAGCCTACCAGTAAGTGTGACAAAGCTTTGACTCCAGAGTGCTGCTTTTGCTGTTTGGGTATGAAGTGGTTCACTAAGGCTGTATTTTGTCCCTGGATTTTCATGCTCAGTGTGACTATTCGATATACAGGTCTAAAGACAATGTGACATTTGGGCTCAACATGCATTTTCATTACTTTCATTCTCTTGAATTTATCAATATGATGTCACATTTTCTTTTTTTCTTTTTTTCTCTCACATGATGTCACATTTTCAAAATTTGAATAAGTATTGACCTAATAATACCATAGGATCAAGGGTTCTAGAGAGGATGTTTGGGATGTGATGTGAAATTGCACAATTTTCATTTTAAATAATTTTTGTACAATACTCCAGCCCCATAAAGTCTATGCTTTTTCCTTTAACACGTTAAGAACAAAACACTGTGTTTTTGTAGTCTTTTAAATAACTGCTCACTGTACAGTTTCAACCGTCTTGCCCTGTTTAACGATTTGAACTTCAACTGAGAACAAGTCTTTAACTACACTATGTGGACATAAGCACTGGGCCACACACAGCATTATTGTTTTCAGTCCCATTGCCAAAACTTATAATATCCTTCCAAACATTTGCAAAAGAATGGGTCACTCTCACAGAGTCACTCAATGAATTATCAAGTCAGTTCAAGAAATTCCTTTTAAAATCAACTTTATGTAATATTATTGCAAAAGGGAAGAGTTTAATTACAGATTAGGGTCGCCAAGTGCTGAGGTATTTGGTGTGTAAAAGTCACCAGTGCTCTGCTTCTAAACTTCCCCTGACATTAACAACAGCACTAAACTGTGCAGGGGAGCTTTGATTTTCATGGCTGGGCAGCTCTTGTAGGTGTCATCCTCAGGTGGACATCAAGTTTCTACTACGTTGTTGCTCATTCAGAGAACTCTGCACAGGAACATCCAAACAAACTCTGGGCTGTCTCTGTCCGTGGTCCTGATACCCTGCTTATCTTGCTCATTGCTGTTACAGAATGTACTGTATATTGTATTGAGCTTCTATAACTTCTGTTGGCCTGGTGTCTATGATTTTTATGGATCCTGGTATCCTGGTATCTGGAATTGCATTTATTTGTTAGTCAATTTAAAACTTTCTGGAATCAGCATCAAAAAATAAAAGGTCTGGAAACACATAAGTAAATGGAGTTTCTGCAGTTTTTTTGTAATTTTTATATTTTTGTTTTTCTTTTTATGTATATAGCTCATATTTTCACGTGTTGTAATATGTAAATCAAAAAGTCATATCTAGATATAATGAAGCTTTTGTACTGTAGGGTTAGAAGGATATTACTGCTGTAAAGAGAAGTTGTGTGTTTTTCCTCGCCTTCGTACAGCTTGAGGTCATCCGTTGGCAGTGCAGCGAAGTTGTAGTACATACATTTGTATGTTATTGGGGATTCTTGCATTATTGTTTAATCTGTGAGAAGGAAAATATTTTCTGCAGTGTTGCTGTTGTTGTGAAGGACATTCTGCTTCACTCTGTCTCTCACTTACCGTTTGTCTCAGACTACTCAAGACATCAGTTTCTTAATTTTACTGCAGAAAAACATGCGGTTCACTATTAACATTTACCTCAAATCATCAGCATGTCACTGCTGTCTCTAAACATATGACAAGCTAATGCCTCCTTTCCTTTGTCATGTGTGTCCATGTGTGTTGTTGCTGTTGTGTGTCAGTCTGATAGCCTACACTGAGCAGTACTTGGAGTATGACCCATTTGTGACATCACCTGAACCATCCAACCCCTGGACCAGCGATGACCCCACTTTCTGGGATTTGGAGGCTAGGTACGATCACTGTCAGTGGATATTTCAAGATATGTCTCTGCGTGCTGTTTTGTTGTTGTTTTCATAATCATGGCATTTTTAGAGGAAACTGTTTGCACTGATTATTTTAAAATAATTTCCAAACAACTTTTTCTGTTGTTGGGCTCTGTAACCTATAACCTTCCTTTTTGCCTTTTGGTGTGTAAATCTCAAAACCAATTTCACATAGAGCCCATAGGGGAAGGGAATTCTTTTCAAGGACACCTATTCAACGCTTTTTTAGGTGTGTGCAGTGTGAAAGCTCACACCGCACCCCCCTTTGCAAGTAAATATTAAACAGACCGAAACCAATCTCACAAAAGGCAAATTCAAGTGTGAACGCACTCCATGTGCTGCCCTTGATCATATAGTTCCAATTTCCAATCCAATTTTATTTATAAAGCACTTTAAAATACCCAGCACAGGAACAAAGTGCTGTACAGAAAGTAAGTTAAACAGCAAATTAAATAAATAAATCACATAAGACATAAAATTAAAATTAAAATTAAAACAGCCCTATGTTAAAAAAACAAGATAAAACAGCATCGAGTCACCTAAAAACAACTAAAATAAAATAAAAATAAATATAAAAACCAACATCTCACGTGGTGTCAAAGGCCAAAGTAAAGAGGTGGGTTTTCAAGAGTGACTTAAAAACAGGTAAAGAAGTGGCCTGTCTAATCTCTAAAGGAAGCTCATTCCACAGTTTGGGAGCTGCTACAGCAAAAGCACGATCTCCTCTAAGTTTACGCCCAGTCCTGGGTATCTTCAGGAGCAGCTGATCAGCTGACCTGAGAGAGCGGGTGGGTGTATAAGGCTGTAGCAGCTCAGAGAGATAAGATGGGGCGAGGCCATGGAGAGCTTTAAAAGTAAATAAAAGAATTTTAAAATGAATCCTAAAAGAAATGGGCAGCCAGTGAAGTGAAGCTAAAACAGGGGAAATGTGCTCAAACTTTCGAGTGCCAGTTAAAAGACGAGCTGCGGCATTTTGCACCCTCTGTAGGTGACTAATATATAATGCACTGACCCCTGACAGCTGATAGTTGCTGACAGCAGGCAAGTCCTGACAAAGTCGTTGAAGAAACGATTGTTGATGATCGGCTTTCATTCCAAAGTATTTCTTTTTGCTACTTATCAGCTTATTTTAACCCTGATTTGCAACTCAAAAATTTAAACGATCTGGATAATCAGAAATTTCACTGCACAATTCTACTAACTTAAATGCTAAATGGTCTTTGAAAACTGCTGTAACAAGCCTCATTCACATACACATAAATACAAGTGCTTTTTCCCGACATTCAAACACACTTTGTTGCACCAGGGGGCAACTTCAGTATCTTGGATAAGTTTGTAAGAATTTTTTTTGTTTTATATATAAAATAACATTTTAAAATTCCCCTCTCACCCCTGCGGGCGGTCTATCCTTCAAGCTCGGATCCTCTACCAGAGGTGCAGTAACTTAACTGTTCCTAGGACTGCGCTCTTCTAGGGCAGAGTTCTCCGATGTTGTTCCTGAGCAATGTTCCATCTAAGCTGCGCACGTGCGTAATTGCGCACTGCTGGCACAGTCTCTGCGCACAAAAAATCTGCGTTGGGCACAAAAAAAAAAATCTAACCTGACTTGGAATTAAAGTAAATACTTCTGTTTTGCAGTGTTAGTCAGTAAGTGACTGGCTGCTCCCTTATGGGATTAGAACAATGCCACCTTATCCCCAGTCCAGCCAATAATACGATTCACATTCGTATATACGCAGCTGATCAACATCGTTGACAGGCTATGAAAACCCTCCTTGCTTGGAGCTTCCTTGTCTTGATGTCAGTGGCTTCTATCTCCTCTTTTGGCCATCTTATTAGTTTGGTAGCTCAGTCCCCTCAGTTCTGACCACCTTCATCTCTAGCCCGAATGACATTCCGATGCCATTGCTGCTGGTGTGGATCAGTGAATCGATGTCCCGTTCTGGGCATACAGCTTGATGAAATCCACAGGAGGATAGCTGACAACTCAATTCCGTATCCATAGCGGGTTCAGACATATGCAGAACAGCAGTGGTCCTCCTCATGTATTGATCCATCTTAGCACACAGTCAGGTCAAGCTTCACCATGATCCTATCTTTCAGGACTCTCGCACTCAAGGAGACGGATACCAAGCAGTGCTTGGGTGGGGGGGTCATGATATCTACCCCCTGACCTGTCGTCCTGGCTCCCTGTTGCCGTAACATGTGTGTTGTACCTCGTCAGTCTCTAGCTTTGAGAACAGTCCTTTCTTCTAAATGTTGGAACACTGAGCTACTAGTTGTTTCGCTGTCAATGTGGATGTTGGGTATCAGCATGACTTCATATAGTATGGAGGGTCAAGCCTAAGACCCTTACTGGATACAGACGCCCCAGGTAGGAATCAAACTTGCGACTCACGCTCTAGAGGCGTGTAGCTGCTATACAGGCATGATTTTTTTTTCTTGTAAAGCCAAAGTGTGACTGACCGAGTACTGATCAAGCACTAATTGCTTTGGCAGAGAACTTTTGAACTAGTGACGGACATTTACAGATCACTCAGCCCAAATCAAAGAAAACACATATAAGACCGATCAAACAAATGAACTGCCTTGCTACCAAATTATTAAACATAAAGAAAAGTAGTGCTCTCAACAAGGTGCACTATGCTTGGAACTCCTGAATACGCAGGAATTCATTAGATCAGACACATGATCACTGTGCCTAATGTAGCTTAATAATTCATCTGAATTGATTAATTGCAGGATAAGAGAACATATTCCCTGCAGAGATTGTAATGATTGGATTTCAGATGAGCACTGTCATAATGCAGCTTTTCATAAACCAGTATCACATCCACATCAGACCCTTTCAGAAGTCCCAAAGATCAGGAGGATTTTGCAGTTTTAATGTCTCATCTCTATCTTCATCTTTCCTCTGTTTTCACTTTTTAGATCTGTCCACACTTTCCCAGCTGTAATTAAGTCTCAGACACTAGTTTCATTCTTTATTTTTTTTAAGGACATTGTAACTATTGTCAAAAACATATTGAAAGTAGAGTCTTGTGAATACTACAGATTTTTCAGCTTAATTTGAGGGGAAATATATATATATATATATATATATATATATAAAAATAAAACAATAAACTGCCAATCCCTATCTCCATCTTTCCCAGTAAGGAGCCCAGTCAGCAGAGGGTGAAGAAGTGGGGCTTCTCTTTGGAGGACGCCTTGAAAGATCCAGCAGGGCAGGAGCTTTTCCTCAAGTTTCTAGAATCAGAGTTTAGCTCAGAGAATCTCAGGTGAGCAAAATATATTTCAGTCATCATTGTTGTATGTTGAAGTGATATTTTCCTGCTCTTTTTAACCATGCTGTACTGAACTCAATTAATGAAGAAAGGCAAGTAGTGCACAAGCACAGATTTTGTGGTGAATTTTTAAAGGCAGCTTATTCTACATTATAACAAATCCTCTGTGCTTCATAGGATAACATTTAAGACATTCAGTTGGGCATTTGTGCAGCTCCCCTTTAACAACGTGAGGAGAGTATAAGAGTCGATCAAAAGCTTTCACTTCCATGAAAATAGGCAGAAATTATTTCTTCTTGGCAACCTCATTGTTCCAACCTACCATTTCAACCCACTTGGAACATGGAAGAGCAATCAAGTGAAGGTTTGCCAGTTTTTAGATACCTAGAACACTTAAAGAGAAGCGCACAAACCACACTAAAATTCTGCTCATCGAAATTTCAGGAAAAGAAAAGAGTATTAGAAAGGAGCAATACTGAGCTACAATGTTATGCAGATGTATCTCTTCTAGTATTTTTTTTTTTACTCTGTTGGATAAATCTAAGATAAAAACAGTTTTTGAAAGGTCTTATCACCATAAACAACAATGTTGTATCGAAGAGAAGAAAAAGATGCAGCCTTACAACTCTGATAAAAATAACAAGACTGAGCTAATGAGGTACACATCAATTTTCTTAACTGCTTATTCAATTACAAGTCATAGCAGCAGCAGTAGAGCCTGTCCCAGCTGGCTCTGCTGGGTGAGGTGCAGAGTACACAACGCGCCCTACCACAGGGCCTCTTTAAACAGACAACCACACTCCTCCTATGCATTTAAGACATAATTTAAGTTGTCGTGCCTTAAAGGAAAGATTCAAAGGGAAATAAGATTTCACAGAACTACTTTACTTCTGTCTACACATCAAAAACAGAGTTGTAGAGCACCGGCAGTAAGCATACTAAGAGAAACTGCTAGCCCGACGATCCATCACACGTCACAAAAGATTTCAAAACTCGTGTTTTTAGGCTCGTGGCAACTTTTCCTCAATCTGTCTGTTTAATTTTTAAGTCCGTGAATGTTTTTGATTTCTTTGACTTGTTCTTGTAATGGTTTACAGCTCACATTAAATACAAATTTACACACTAGGCACTGTCATATTTAGTCCCTTATGCACCTATGCAGCAATAAGTGGGTGTTTTATAGTGTGTGGGTGGGAGAGAGAGATGAGGCATCTCTGAAATCTAGTGAGAGAGACAGAAACGTGTTAGGAATAAGAGTCTGGGGATGAACTGATAGTATGGAGGTTGTTGATACTTCTGAGCCAGGGGGAGATCCACTACAGAGAAAAAACACACACACATAAGCAGGGTGAGATGCAGAGCGGGAGGGCATACACTCACATCGCTGTTCACCCTTCAGCTACGCCACCAGTCTCCTCACCTCCATCTATTGTTCTCTTCTTCTGGACCCTTAATTGCTTTTGGTTTTATGAGGGAGCTTTTGGAGGAGTGGCACAGAAAGAGAGAGTGTCAGTTATTGAGAAATAGAGAGTGAGTGAGCAAAGCACACCCCAGAGGTGCTTTGCTCTATATTGCTAAACCAGTCCACAGATCAATATAGATAGAAACTAATATTGCAGGCAGTCTGCTTCTCTGCTGCCCCTGGTATTTAACACAGTTTAAGTTTTTTCTCTGTGTCAATATTTAAAAGAAAATTATTCTCATGTGTCGTCGAGGAAAGGAGGAGAAAGTTTTAAGAGCATTTTAGAAAGAAAGAAATCAAATACATGTAAGTCAATGTTCTGGATACTGACATGTTTCGAGAAAACTATGTTTGCTTTGCAGGAAGGTTTCACTTTTAATTTTACCGCCCTAATCATACAGAAAGCTTTCACTGTCCTAAACTCGCTAATCTATCTAAAGATAAGTTATCACCAGTTACATGTTTAGCATGCAGATTTAAAGGTCTATGCCACTGATGTGTGTTTCTGTTTGTGCTGTTGCAGGTTCTGGCTGGCTGTACAGGAATTAAAGAGGATACCTCAGCACGAAGTTGCACAGAGGGCACAGGACATCTGGGCAGAGTTCCTGGCAGAGGGAGCGCCCAGCTCTATTAACCTGGACTCCCACAGTTACGAACGCACCAGCCAAAACCTGAAAGACCCTGGACGATACAGCTACGAAGATGCACAGGTGAGAAGCAGAGGAGCATGTAGTGCATTTGAGCTCAAGTAAAATTATTTGAACTTGAAAATTATAAAACCAGTCGGACTTCACAGGGTTTTAAAGTGGAGCTGATGTAACAATATATCAACCTCTTTAAACCTACATATAGAAATTATATGACTGGGAAAAAAAGAACCTGCTCTTAAAATCCTGTCCAGATTTATGCAACTTTTTGGCAAATGCCAGCTGAAATTTGTCTGGCTGAACTGAGATTTAGTGGTACTCATAAATAATAAAAGGTGAACTACAATACTAAGTGAATACTAGAAAAGGAGTCATTTAGCAAATTGCATTTATTTCAGTTAGCCTCATTCTGTTCTCTCACTACTGAGAAAAATGTCCCTACTTTTGATCAGTGATTGCAACACATTTACACTGCAAATACACACCTCATATCCTTTGACTTTTGAAAAAGTAAAGCAGGCAGGCAAACTTACATAGCAAGGCCCCAGCCAGTCAGCAGATTTGAACCCAGGACCTTTTTGCTGGGAAACAACAATGCTAACTAATGCACCGCCATGCTTCTGAAGTTTAATTCTAAATGACCTAATTGTGTGACTGGTTGTCTGTCTCTGTGTTAGACCTGCAATAGACTGTTGACCTATACTATGACAGCTGGGATAAGCTTCAGTAATTTCCTGTGTATCAGGATTCCCCAGTTATGTGACTGACTCCAAATAGGCCTGCTTGAGGTCAAGAGTATCACCACAAGGCTCTATTCTACATTCCAACTTAAGTTGGTTATATCTCTGTGGGTTTTCTGTGCTTCTTTCAGAAGCTCTGCCCCACACCATTGTCTGCTCCATTTGTCTTTCTTACATGCTTCACCAGTATCAGCTAATGGGTTTATATTGTGGAGTGATTTCCAGAGAATACGTCTCATTGGGAATGGGCATGGGGGTGGGGGGGTACTGGGCGCTGCGTAGCATCTATTAAATTTCGTCTCGTGTCACAGGCTTAAATGGGACGAGTTAAACAAAGAAAAGATTTCTCCTGTCAGTTACCTGGCAGTGTGCCTCAATCATCCTCTCCCACTGAGAGGGTCTTGTTCAGTTTACTCTGCTTGAGTTGGCAAGTTTTGTACATCATCGACACGTAGTTATAAACATAGCAGAATTGCACCGCCATCCTTCCGACGCAAACTTCTCCTTCTTACTTGCTGTGTATCCCATCTTTCTGACCTCTAAGGACCACATCTACAAGCTGATGAAAAGTGACAGCTATTCACGTTTCCTGCGCTCCAACCTGTACCAGGACCTTCTGATGGCGAGGAAGAAAGTAAGTGACTGTGTCATCTATTTATGAATTACTCTCTGTGGACATACAGAAGCTGTATCATTGAACATTAGCATCAGTGAAGCTGAGACTAAGGCAGGCTCCCCGACTTTACTTGGTAGAGATAAGTGGACCAGTCTTTATGACTTAATGACTGCTCAAAGTGCACACATAGCACTGTAACAGTCACACACCATGAGATACAGTATAATTTGTGAATATGTCAAAGGGCATTTTGACATGTTTGACACTGGATTGATGGGCAACCTGCCTCTAGCAGGGCCAGCTATGAGGCATGAGGGGTGCACCGCATTCAGTCAGCTAAATTGCTGAGACGACCGCTAACAGCCCTTTTTAGAAAAGAAAGTGGAATACGGCATAGTATTTTCCAGCAATTACTGTAATATCAGTAATGTTTAAAAATATGCCTGCAATCTTGTGCAATTTTTGCGAACAGACTCTTAAAGTGAAAGATGCAATTTTGGCTTCGAAAGAGTTGAACTCTCACACTCTTTACTTTTTGCTCGACTCTAGCCTGAAACGGAGCAGGGCCGACGCACCTCCCTGGAGAAGTTCACTCGCAGTGTGGTGAGTGTCCTGCTGCGTCTGGTTTTAATTATTACAGCTACTTTATCAAACTTTTTTTTAATTGTACATCTGTGCTAAAGTATTTTTTGTAGTCATTAGATACTTTTGCAGCTACAAAGGACATTTACTTTTTTAAAACAATGGTTTAAAAGAATGGCGTATTGAGTAATAAATGACTGTCCATTATACAAATTAGTTTGCCTAACTGCGTGACTGCAAATGAGGGAAGAGGCAGGATGCAGGCAAAACAATTACAATGTAAAATTACAGCTAAGCGGTTTGAGTGATTTCTGTATTCTTCAGTGTTCCCTTTGGGGTGCCATTTGCCATGTGTTGCCATGTTTGTTTTTGCTTTATGAAATGCATTATTTCTTTCAGTTCAATAGATGAAGCCTTTGGTTTGCAAAGACATGGAACTGTGACCAAACTATGCATTTCTCTGCAGACACATTATGAGCTTGATATCAAAGAAGAAGAAAAAACGTTATTTAAGTCTTATTGGACTTCATATGGCAAGCTTGGAGCTCCCTAAGGCACCTCTCATTGCATTACTGTTCCCCCCCCCCTTTTTTTTCAGGGCTAATATAATGTATTCTCACCTTGAGATTTAATATATTTTTGCAGACAAAGCTCTATGTGCATGCAGGTCATCCCTCTTCTTTTTCTCCTTAGCTCCTTAGAAATCTTGAGAATAAAACTTTAAACTATGACTTTTCTTTTCCAGGGCAAGTCATTGACGGGCAAACGACTGACGGGCCTCATGCAGTCGTCCTGACAAGGCCTGGATGAAGAATAGGTGGAACCATACCCAGAAGAGCTGCTTACCTGTGGGAAGCAGGTGGAAAAGGACCCTGGGGTGTGCTTGTGTAGCTATGGGAGGTGGATAAGCGCGCCAAACAAGCTTACACCACTGGATTGGACTACTACCACATGTGAAACTCACCTCAGATCAGTTCAAGCGGACCGACAGCATGCAATAAGTCACCAGACCTGACACCAGTGCTGTCACAGTGTAGATGATAAACAATGCTACTCCTCTTAGGAAGTTTCTACAAAAATCACCTGTACTAAGGAAAGCCGGGCTCAGTTGTTTCTCTCTATCTACTCTCATGTTAATATAGTAGCTGAAGAGGCTATTGCTTTTACTTTCAGTGATATAAACACGGAATGCTTGAATGCCTTGACAGATGTCAAACGAGACTTAGATTAAATGCTGTAGCTAGCTGTTTTATCTCATCATTCACTACGATGATATAAGGGAATGAAACACTGGGAGCAGTTTACAGATGCTTGACTGCCAGGTGGTGTAGTACACTGAACTTATGATTGACTAAAGCTTTTAGATCAACTTACTATTGTATGACACAAGATATGCCTCTGTATGTCCAATGCCGATTTACTTGGTTACAGTGTGCGCTCACATTTAAATCAGCACACTTGCTGCTTTTGTCTGTCTCCCTGCACTTATAGCTGTGTAATGTAGTACTGTAGTTGGTACAATAGTATGTGTTAGTATGTGCAACAGTAGCTACTAATACTGAAGTTAGTACAAGCACAAGCTGAAATGTCTGCTTTTAAATTCAAGTAAAGGGCACCAAACACGAAGGCCACACGTATCCTGGAAAGCCAACCAAAATCAGTGTTGACATGATCATTTGGACATATTCATAATCTACAAATCAATAATTAGGTTGCCCTAAACATATGTTGTGGACACCCAGAGGTGAACATCTTGTCATAAAAAGGTGAGTTGGTAGGTTTACAAACAGTTGTATTGCTTTAAACGGGTGGGTGGAAAAAGGTTAGGCTTTACTCTATCTTCTAAACATTCCACTGCAGGCGGCCACAGTAATGTTTATTTGGCTGACTTCTTACCATTCTTCACCTTGTGTAAAGATGACAATAAAAGAGGAATGCACAATAAAGAAGAGTTTTGGACCCTTATGTCAGCATGTCCATTTCTTCTACAGGGAAAATGCATCAGATGACACTTCCCAGAATAAATGCATGTAACATGTAACCGGTGCATCTTTGCACTTTGTAGTTACATACTGCCCCCTAGTGTCCGTTGGGTAGTAAGTACTGGTTAAACGTCTCACTTTCTGTCATTTGCTGGCACGTGGAGCAAAACCATTACAGCTGGGCAACAAGTACGCTTTAGAAATGTACTATTAAAACCTAAATGTTAAACAGTGCAGCTTTAAAGTGTTGTCGCTCTTGAATTTGATGCTTGGGAAATAAAGACTGATTATTACATCTAATGCTACAAAGAGCTTTTAGTATCTTGCCATCTTAGTAATAGCTGTGAAGTGCAATAGCTCCATCTGGTGGATTTTTTATTAAGAAACGGTACATTTTTTTTCAGTCTTATATTAATCTTCATCAAACAAGTATGACTGCTGTTTTATTCCGATAGTCTCCATGTTATATTTGAATAAGGCATATCTTTTTTAGATTTCCCTCTATACACCACTACAGTGGGTTTCAAATCCAGCAATATGTGATTCAAGTGCAGACTTTCAGCTTTAATTCATGAGGTTCAGCAAAAGTATTAGAAACATTTTGAGTGGCTCAAAAGTATTTTGACAATTGACAAGAAGTTTGAGACTGTTGCCTCGTTATTCCATGACAAACACTCGACCCACCTCTGGTTAATTCCAAATGTTGAACTTCATTTTGGTAACTGAGACTGTCAATATGACACCCAAACAGATGTCAGTGCAGGTAAAGGAGGCTGAAAAAACAAAATAAATCCACGAGAGAGAGTAAAAGCTTTAGGAGTGGCCAAATAACTGAAAAGACCTTGAGGTCAAAGTCACTGATATTCATAACTTGTCTGAGATTTTTACTAGATTTACTAGATTAGTATTGATTTAGACATCGTACACTGCCTCAATCTCAAGTTATTGTGTTCACAAAGTTAACGGCAATACCCTATCAGCCTTTTACAGTCAAGAGGTAAAAATGAGTGACTGGCCAAATTATTATGGATCTAACTGTACACTTCCTGGATAAAACCATTTTGTCCCGAGTATCAAATTTTTTATTTTACTTTTATATTTTAGTGATTCGTTAGTGTATGTTCTACATATAGTTGTAAAGCTTTAAGTGCATACTCAAGTTTTGTGGGAGAGATCAAAGCCACTTAAATGTTTCTTGTGCATTATTGCTTAAAAACATTGATCAAAAATTCAGACGTTCTAAACCGTTTTCTAGAAAAGAAGGTATACGAAGAACAGACAGGAAAAAAACAAACAAATCCTGGTACACAGTGCAACTGTTTCCAAGATAAAAGACAAAACTGAACTTATTCAAAGCACCAAAAAATATCCCAAAAAGCAGCACCTGAGTACTGTAAGCACATGTATTGCAATGCAGGATTTTAACACTTTAGATGACAAACTGAAACACAGTGAGACTCACTTCATAGCCATTACAAATTTATTGATCAGAGCTTCACATTGTGCGCAGGTCTGATAATAAACTGACAACTTCTTAGTAGATGTTTAAGGTTATATTTGAAGAACTGGGATGGGTGGAGTGTAAAAGCGAAGCTTTCGATTTACCGTTCGATCCACGTCCCTACCCTCATCCTATGGTCATGAGCTGTGGGTAGCGACCAAAAGAGAGAGAAGCGGCAGAAATGGACTTCCTCCGAAGGGTGGCTGGCCTCTCCCTTAGAGATAGGGTGAGAAGTTCAGCCATCCAGCAGGGGCTCAGAATAGAACCGCTGCTCCTCCAAAGGAGGCAGTTGAGGCGATTCGGGCATCTGGCTAGGATGCCTACTTGATGTTTTGGGCATGTCCCACCGGGAGGAGGCACTAGGGCAGACCCAGGACATGCTGGGGAGATTATAACTCTCGGCTGGTCTGGCTACACCTTGGTGTTCCTCTAGACAAGTTGGAGGAGATGGCTAGGGAGAGGGAGGATTCCTTAGGCTGTTGCCCCCACGACTCAGCCCCAGATAAGCGGAAGAAGATGGATAGATTGATGGACGAATTTGGTACTTTAAAAATCACACTGAGCAATAGCATGTTGGTAGCATCAGAATAATTGTTTGGTTAGACTTGTTGTTGTTTATATTTCAATTTGAGTGAAGAAAAACGCTCAGAAAGACATTTTTGATGTTACAATGCAAAAAGTGTAGCTGAGCTGGGCACTTATTTTTTAGGTACTTACACCAAACAAATGAATTGTGAGTAGAATTAATGAATGGCTGTAAAGGTACACTAATTTGGGAATAGAGAAACGTGTCACGAGTTGCAGGACTTAAAAGAGTAATGACTGCACAGCTAACACACAAATGCACTCTGAGGAAATGGGTCAACACATAAATTGGCATTAGGTCCCTTGGGAAAGCTGAGACCTTATTGAAAAGCAGTAAGGAGAATTAGGCAGCGACAGCGGGACAGGAAAGAGGCTGGACTCCTCTAATCTCCAGAGCCTTGTTGAAGTGCACCTCCATGGTCTTAGAAGACTTGGTGATCTTCAGGTTTCTTATACAACCATGAAAAGAGGTGCTGGTAGAAAGAGCTGCCTGGTGAACTCCAGCTGAGACAGAAACAAAAACACATAATCAAATTTACTCCATAATCCCTGAACAGGCTCTTCTCCTGTAACAAGTATGTTTTCTATATATGCTAACAACAATTCATATGTGTTGGCATGTTTCTTTACATTTGTCCAAGTATCATTTTAGGTAGGTGGCATTCATACCAGGATATCCTCCAACATATATGGGGTCGCTGGTGTCACAGGTGACAGAGTGTGCATACGGACTGGCTGCATCGCTCTGCTTCCCATCAACCACCAGCTCCAGCTTGTTCCGTTTCTTGGTGGCGGTGACGGAGTGCCACTGTCCATCACAGAAGCCTTCTCCCTGAGGAACGTGCACTGCCGTAAAGCGCCCAGCTCCATTGTCAACATGGAAGAGCAGCTAAGAGGGAGGGAAAGGCACATGGAAACAACAAACAAGCTTACTGCATGTAGTCAAACTAATTTCATAATTCTTTGAAATTCTTTGAAATTAGTTTGTGAAAAGTTTTATAAAGCTTTCACAAAAAATACTAAGTAAAAATTACTTTTTGTGACAAGTTTATGTAAAAAAATAAAATCCTCAATTTGTGGAGATGGACCAAGAACATGTTTGATATTCCCAAACCTCACAACGGAAAAAGCTTTCTCTCTGGAGGTTTTTTCCCTTTATGTTATTTTTGCTGTTTTTTAAGGTTTTTTTAAGATCAAATTTGTATCAATGTCCTTTTCCTCTAAGCAGCATTTATTTTATTTTACAATGGACTAAAATCTTAAAAAAGGACAAGTGTTTAATTCTTCTGTTGCTTCTTATTTCCGGGCCTGCTTCCAGCACAAGGTTTAACATTCCTGTTGATTTTAAAACAGATTTATGTTTTCTTCATTTGAACATACATAGTTTATGTGCTATGGTTATGCTTAGCATTTGAGCACATTCTAATATTATAGTTTAATTTGAAATCTGGTTAGGCAAATCTATTACAAATACAGATATTAGTGTTGATGGGTATTATATGTATATAGGACTGAGTGACCTAAAAAAGTCAGGGGTATTGTAATATTTGGCAAAAACTCTGAATCAGTGAGTTTTTGATCATTTCAGTTTTTGGTACTTGATCCTTTGAATCCCTCCAGATTACACTTGGCTACTCCAGAACATCCTCAGTTGTCAGAAGTGCACTACCCTCTTTAATGAAGCTTTTATTAAAAGGGAATTTTAAGTAAATGGTTCTTATGGAAGACTTGAATTGGAATAATTTAAGTTTGCTGTGACTCTCTAAATCAATTTCAGATTACTGACAACTAATTCAAGATATCCAGGAAATTTTTAATGCTAGAACCGCCAAAGAGGTCACTTAGCGTTAACTTATTTATTTATCGCAATCGTTCCACATTAATCTGCAGCAGCTTCGGATGTTGCTAATGACGACGACTTTCTGTTATGATTTTGTTGCAGAAAGAGCAGAGCCATGGATAATTTTCAAACAAGATATAAAACATGTTTGCTGAACAAAATATATATATTAAAAGTCGAGATACTCACTTATATTACAACGTTTACATATGCTGGATTCTTTCTATAACTGAGCACTGAGATTTATTACAAACCTTAAAGCGTTTACCTGCCACTGTACATTGTGTGCTTGTGCTGGGAGCTCTGTTTGTCATTTCATAGCCTCAGCCACTGGTACATTCTTATTTTTAAGGTCTTATTTATATGGTCTGCGCCGGTCTTACTGACTTCCATTAATCAAAAAATTGTGGGAATTACTTCTATTGATTTTTCAGGGTTTATTGGTGATGACATTTATACATTTTGGTTGCTTTTGTATTTTATTTTTATTGTTTTTATTTTAGAGTACTTAACTTGTGTATTTTTTTTTGTGTTACCAGTTTTTTGCAACTTCACTGCTGTATTTCTTGCCTAGAAAACTAACACACTTGTAAAAGAGATTTTTGATCTCAATAGTTATACTGTCCTGCTTAAATAAGTAAAAAAGTCAGTGTTTAACCGCTTAATATATTTGTAATATTATAATGTGAGTTTTTTAAATATGTGCATTTCACACAAATATTATTCCTTTATACTACAGTCCATTATACTACAGTCAGGTTAGTGCAGTTTTTAAAGTGTGTGGCACGCCCCACTGGAGTTCTGACAGGTGGGGCGCAAGTTACCTGGCAGAAAAGTCATGCAGAACTAATGTTTAACATCAGAATCACTTTTACGGCGGAAAGAAACAAGAAATTTGCAGCAGTTACGTTAATAATATGCGCATCCGCTGCATCCCTGAAAAGCTGCACGCAGCCACGCGTGTAATTCAACAGCCGCAATAAAGAAGTGTAGTGAAAAGTGCGAACATGTGGTTGTGTCTGTCGTCCATCGTTTACAGTGGTGCCAAAACCCAGGATTGGGCTGCATGTTCGCACTATATTGCGCCTGTCGACTTACACACGCGAATGCAGCTTTTCGGCTACAGCCTACACATATCAACAACAACAACAGGACCCAGTTCATTCTGTTCTAAGCTGGGGAGACGTGACTGGGGATGCCGCACAGGTGCGTCCATCTCCCCCGCAGCCACGCCCCAGCCCACGCCCCGCCACAGCTCTGCAGTCAAAAACAGGCTGACTGCAGCCTTTAAGAGTGAATAGCATTAAACTCTCACTAAATTATATATTTTTCACCTCTGTTCACAAGTTTCTGGGGATTTCTTTTTTTATAAGACTAAGACTGAATTTTATTTTTCCATGTCTGGCAATGTTCACATTCTGTTTAACTTTTTACCTTTTTGAAGAAGTGGTGCAGACTAAAAGTTAAGAAATAGTTGTTTGAAATGAAAGTTGTTTGTTTAAAACAAAAATTACTGAATGATTCATTGTGAATGAGTTTATTATCTAAATAAAGTTGCAGGCAGGCTTTTCTGTCATTATTTTGTTTAGATGGGGCTTGAAAATATTTCTTCTTGCCACGTGGGGAATGGTGTAAAAAGTTTGAGAACCACTGCGCAGTGCAACAGTGGCTGGAAATTGCAACATTAACAAAATTATTAAGACCATGTACAATGAAACTGAAAGCGGCCAATTCAAACATGGCTGCTATGTCTGTGACCATAATTGCACCAAACGGTGTCAGTCTGCAACTGAATGGCTTCAATGTGTTAATTACATGCAATCTGTTTGTAATAATCGCAAATCTGTTACACAGAAATTCACATTAAGTACTTATGTTGAAAGTCCAGCCAGAACTTCATAGATCTGAAACTAAAATTCAGGAGTTCATGATGTCTGTGATTTAATTGTAATATGGCAATGGAAGCAGTTGGCAACCAGTTCAGTAGAGTCCCTCAGTGTGTCTAACAACAGGGAACTTATTGTGGAACACGTCACAGACAAATTGCGCTCATTGGTGCAAAGTGACCAAGATTGATTGCAATGTGTTGGCAATTTTTCTGCATTTATAAATCAGACAGTAGCAAAGATTTACTGCTGATAAATCTGTCAGAAATGATTACCCAAAGGTTAAGGGCATTGTATGTTCAACCTCTGGACAACCAGCTGGTCACCACAACTACTTGCATTCAGTCAGCAAAGGTGAAAAAAATCCAGTGCAATCCCTGCTGTTTTTTTCTAGTCACAAGGAGGGTCTTATCCTATATTTACTATACACACTATATTTGGTGCGACTGAGCCATAAATGAGTGTTGCGTACCTTGCCATCGACAATTTCTAGCCCCAGTCCATCATTGCCTTGATTACTGACTGCCAAAAGCACTCCACTGGTTCTGCTGGTTCGGAACTC